AAGATCCAAACACCAACTGATGTGCTGGTCTTGCCTTCCGATACCTTAGCACCTGTACCTGAAGGTGATCTTCATATATTAGTTGTACTTATCTCCCTCCCATTTTGAATGATCTTCATATATTAATTGACATTTCTAAATGCTAATTACTAGTCTTTCCTCGTGGATTTCAGAATCATATGGATTCTCAACTCTTCTTAAAATTCGTCTTACGTGAGGCTTCTTTGACAACAGACAATTTCTTTATAGAATTATAGTTGTTGAACTGCGCTTCCATCTTCCTCACATTTCATTTTTCTTTAATCTCAGGAGCTCTACTGTATAGTTTATACAGTTTAGACTGTTGGAATCCAAGAGAAGACATTTGCTGGTTATAGCTCAGAGGTATCCTCTACAACTTGTGTCATACAATTATCTCCTAGAGTAAATTTGACAAGCTAAAATTCTGAAGTGTTAGATGTTCCCGTGCAATTAGAATAAAGTCAACACATATAATAATGGAAGTCATTCCTCTTCTTGATTTGGCTGTTATTTATATTTCACTGGATGGTACTATGCATTAATTTCACATTTTGTTTTGTTGCATATTTCTGCTTTATATATTGATTTAGAGTCTCAATTGATGTTCCAAATGGATTCAGTTTGAAACCTGATCATTGTAGGAATTGCCTTTAGAAGTTTAGAAGCTTGCTGTGTGTTTTCCATGTTTGCACTTTATAGGTGTTTATTTTAACCTTTAGGAAATATGGTCTGATTGATTTTAACTTTGGCTATTGAGATTAAAAACATTAGTCTTTCTCAATCTTTTCGCAAAATGTCACTTCAAACACCAAACTTAAAACGCTTTGTAATTGGGTATTGAAGTTGAATTATAACAAAGTTTAGATAATAAACAAAATGAATGATTTGTTTAAGTTCAGCCATCTCGAACCAACATGGGGTTTGGTGACTACGCCGATTGGTTTCTTGGAGATTCGGATTCCATTTATTGTTTCTGTCTTTAGTTATTTAAGTTATTAGATTAATTTGGCTTAAGGAAGTTGTAATATATATGATATTGGATTCCATTTTTTCCCTGTTTTTAATTAGGATACATAACATTATTACCTTTTTTGCATTTAGTTTAAGTAAAATATATATATATCTCTCAAAAAATCGTCATTTTCTACTTCACAGATATTTTATTCAAAATCTATTACAATCATTCATTTTTTTTGTTCATGTTTTCCATCTATAGGATTATGTAGTAAATGATGCAAAAAGTACATCATTCCATCTATAGGATTATGTAGTAAATGATGCAAAAGTACATCATATCCATACCTCACTGCCAGATCTTCTACAAAAAGAAATGTCAGAATACCCATACTTTTGCTGCCTGTCTTTCTATTTTACCTACTGTCTGTCTTGGTTGATTTGTTGCTGTCTTGCTTTTTGAATCAACTAGCAAGATTTTTTTGCTTAGAATAGCCACTAAGTAAATCATTA